TTTTAACAGATTGCTTTCAGATATTTTTAAGACAGAAAAAAGCAATATAGTTCTTGAATCATAGGAGGGGGATAAGAGCAGGTATATAAGAAATTAATAATAATGGTATAGATAGCAAATCTTTCAATTAAATGATAGCAAATGTTAATAAATATTTCTTTTTGCAGATTTTCAAAAAATAGAAGCAAAATGAAAGCAATAGCTTATAAATATTTCAACTCCATGTTTATAACAGTGGAAATATCAGAAACAGATCTAACATTGACTGTGGAAAAAGTTACAAGTAGAGTCACAGAAAATATTGCATATTTTTTGTTTTGGTATGTCCCCTTTCAATGGCTTCAATCCACTTTTGATTATGTTACACAATTTTACCAACAAAACTGATTAATTGTGTTTTCATTGAAACCAGAGCTCTCTGGATAGTATCCCTGTCTGCATCACTAGGATCTTTCTTCAGAAACAGTTCAAAGTGTTGAATAACTTTCTTCAGAATTTCCTTCTTGTTGTATTTACTTTCTATATGCATCATTCTTTCACAAACCAGGGCAAAGTTTTTGTGCCAGTAGCTTGGAACATTAACATTTCTCTTGATTGCTGAATCATAAATCTGAAAATAAATTAAAATGTAATAACAATCATTTGGTTTACTAAATTCAAAAGCATTCCATCACTATCATTGATAATTGAGAACAAACTAAAAACTTTGAATCTCTGTTGATTACATGATCCTTGCCACCACATTTAGAAGCATTCTTTGATGTCTGTTTTTCTTAATACAAATTGAAAACCAAATTCAAAGAAAAAATAACAATTTTTTTGTTTATTACAATGTAAGATTAAATAAAATAGTTTTCATATTTAAACATTATTAAGAGAAATATATGTAATATAATGTATACTGTATTATATATACAAGTAAGAGCAGAAGCTTGGGTCTCATCTATAAAATCACAATTACAACAAATGTATTTGCAATATTTACCCCTTTTCATTGACATGCATTGTACTTTTAAAGATTAAATTCATAAAAACGTCAATTTTATTCTGTTTTCCCTTTTATGTCTTATTTATTGTTTAAGGATTTCCCACTTCAACTTCATCATTTGACTTTAAGGAGTCTATCTTTTCTTGTTTTACCTGATAAGAGGCTATTAAATATTCTGATTTTTTCTTGGCAATATTTGTCTCTTCAGCCATCTGATATAGTTGGAAAGCATTGCTAATTCTAAAAAGAAAAGTTTGATATCTTGTATGATGTAAAAAATGTTCTTTAAAATACATTTTATTTCAATCCCCACCTTACTATTACATCTGTTTAGAATCAATTTTATCTTACATGAACCATATTTGATAATTGCAAGTGAACAACTTATGACTAAATAATATTCTGGAAATAAACAAAAGGGTCTAAGGAGCCTTATAAAATGAAAACAACACGTTATAAATTCATGCGTCCGCATCAATTTTCTGGATTTTCCTTCATCATGGAAGCTCAAAGCCGAATATTTGAAAGCCAAAGATGTATAAGAACCGCTACAGCAAATGAGCTATATGACCAAAAAGGACATAAAAATAGCTGAATCCATCTAAGGTCAACTTTGCCTGAGGGAGTTGAAATCTTGAGTTTCTTTACAATTTGAAAATTTATAAAGGACAATTACTGTTAAGTGCTCACCTATCAAAAATATAGCTTGCATTGATCTTTTTGTTGTTCATAGTTTATATGTATCTATTATAGTTTTAGATCTTGTATTCCTACATTTACAGTTTCTACCTATCTATCATAATTTTTGAGATAATATGCAGCAATTAAACAAGAGTGCACACACTGAAATGCCTCGCCTGTTTAACTAACCACGATTGATTTTATGTTTATAGTCCTAAAGATAAAGTTTTACTACAAGTATCACATAAAGTTAACATTATCAATGATCTGTATAAATGAGGTCAAGGTCAGATATTAAAACAAAGCCAGACAGACATTTAACTTTACAATAATTCCATACACTGAATATAATTGACCTTACTGCTTATAGTATCTAAGCAACAGATTAAACCAGGAAAACTAAACATTGACCAATGAACCATGAAAATGAAGTCAAGGACGGTTGATAACAGCCAGAATGACGTGTACACCTTACAATCATGCCATACACCAAATATAGCTGAACTATTGCTTGTAGTATTTGAAAAACAGACCAAAACACAAAAACTTAACATTGACTAATGAACCATAAATATGAGGTCAAGGTCAGATGATAACTACCAGACAGACATGTACATCTTACAATCATTCCAAACACCAAATATAGCTGACCTATTGCTTATGGTATTTGCAAAACAGACCAAAACACAAAAACTTAACATTGATCAATGAACCATGAAAATGAGGTAAAGATCAGATGAAACTTGCCAGACTGACATGTACCCCTTACAATCATTCCTTACACCACATACAGTTGACCTACTGCTTATAGTATCTGAGAAACGGACCTAATCATGTAACTTTAACCGTGATCGGTGATTCATGAATTGAGGTTGAGGTCAGGTGAACCCTGTCTGACAGACATGTAGACATTGCAAGGAACCCATATTCCAAATATAGTTATCCTTCTACTCAAGTGAGAAATTCACATGACAAAAAACTAAAAAAAAATTCAAGCAGTTGATGAACCATGAAAATGAGGTCATGGACAATGGACATAAACTTCGTAGGCGAGACAAAAAAATTATCAAAAATCCTTATTTAGGCACCAATCATTCATTGTCTGTGGGGGGCATGGGTTTTCCTCTTCTCTGGACAAACAATTTTAAAAATATAGATATATAAAACTAGAGGCTCTCAAGAGCCTGTGTCGCTCACCTGATTCTACTTTGGTTTTGGAAATCATGTAAAAATAGATTAAAATCATAACACATACCCTAATAATGAGTGAGGCCAAATTTGGTTTAATATTGGTCCTGTAATTTAATAAAAAATCCTGGTGACCATCTTGAACAGTAAATCGGCAACAAAGTAGCAACACTTAATCAGCACCTCATAAGAAACATTTATGCCATGTTTTGGTTTCATTCCATTCAGTGCACTTTTAGAAGAAGCATTTGTATGTATTTCCCATAGGGTCTTATGTTAAAGGAAGTCCTGGATGAAGGATCAGCTTCAAAGTAACAAAACTTAGTCAGCACCTCATAAGGAACATTCATGCCATGTTTGGTTTCAATCCATTCAGTATGTGGTTCTCTAAAAGAAGACATTTGTATGTATTGTCCATAGGGTCCTTTGTTAAACATTGTCCCCATCTGGCAGCCTTCATGGATGAAGGATCAGCTTCAAAGTAACAACACTTGGTCAGCTACTCAAAAGGAACATGCATGCCATGTTTGGTTTCATTCCATTCAATGGTTTTCTTAAAGAAGACATTTGTATGTATTTCCCTTAGGGTCCCATGTTAAACTAAGTCCCCCGCTGGCTGCCATCTTGGATGATGGATCAGCTTCAAAGTAACAACACTTGGTCAGCACCTCATAAGGAACATTTTTGTCATACTTGGTTTCATTCCATTCAGTGGTTCTCTAAAAGAAGACGTTTGTATGTATTTCCCAAAGGGTCCCATGTTAAACTAAGTCCCCCGCTGGCGGCCATCTTGGATTATGGATCGGCTTCAAAGTAACAACACTCGGTCAGCACCTCATAAGGAACATTCATGCCATGTTTGGTTTCATTCCATTCAGTGGTTCTCTAAAAGAAGACATTTGTATGTATTTCTCATAGGGTCCCATGTAAAACTAAGTCCCCTGCAGGCGGCCATCTTGGATTATGGATCGGCTTCAAAGTAACAACACTCGGTCAGCACCTCATAAGAAACATTCATGCCATGTTTGGTTTCATTCCATTCAGTGGTTCTCTAAAAAAAATTTGTATGTATTTCCCATAGGGTCCAATGTTAAACTAAGTCCCCCGCTGGCGGCCATCTTGGATTATGGATCAGCTTCATAGTAACAACACTTGGTCAGCACCTCATAAGGAACATTCATGCCATGTTTTGTTTCATTCCATTCAGTGGTTCTCTAAAAGAAGACATTTGTATGTATTTCCCTTAGGGTCCCATGTTAAACTACGTCCCCCGCTGGCGGCCATCTTGGATTATGGATCGGCTTCAAAGTAACAACACTCGGTCAACACCTCATAAGGAACACACATGCCATGTTTGGTTTCATTCCATTCAGTGGTTCTCTAAAAGAAGACATTTGTATGTATTTCCCATAGGGTCCTATGTTAAACTAAGTCCCCCGCTGGTGGCCATCTTGGATTATGGATCGGCTTCAAAGTAACAACACTCGGTCAGCACCTCGTAAGAAACATTCATGCCATGTTTGGTTTCATTCCATTCAGTGGTTCTCTAAAAGAAGACATTTGTATGTATTTCCCATAGGGTCCTATGTTAAACTAAGTCCCCCGCTGGCGGCCATCTTGGATGATGGATCCGCTACAAAGTAACAACACTTGGTCAGCACCTCATAAGGAACATTCATGCCATGTTTGGTTTCATTCCATTCAGTGGTTCTCTAGAAGAAGTTCAAAATGTAAAAAGTTAACGCCGACGACGGACGATGACGGATGACGGACGCCAAGTGATGAGAAAAGTTCACTTGGCCCTTTGGGCCAGGTGAGCTAAAAATAAAACTGTGATGACTAAAGGATGTCATCTTTTACTACTGCTGGCTTTTATATTAATTTTTCTCTTTCTTTCCTTTTGTTGTTTCTTTTTTTTCTGTGTTTTTTGGGAGGGAAGGGGAGGTTTTCAGCAATGAAGAGGTAAACAATATCAGGAAATTCTTTAGTAATTATCTTTAAAACATAGTTTGTAGAAGTATATGACCTACATTAAATGTCGCATTTATTGCTCCATTTAAATCCCACATTTTATATTTATGACTACCGGTAGCTTTTGTACCTTGACCTCGAACAAGGAAGTTATTTATCTGTAACATATAGATACAGTGATATGCATAAAAAACATCAAGGATTTTCTTAGATCATAAAGAAATGGCATTTTCTCAACCTACAGATGAAGCCCAGACACCAGCTTTGTGTCAGTTCTGTGAAGAGTCATCAGATCTAAGGTGGAAATGCATAAACTGTGATGTATTTATGTGTCAACTTTGTATAACAAAGATTCATAGTAAAATTAAATCATCTGATCAACATGAATTAATTAATCTTAAAGACTTTGGAAGTGAAAATGCTGCAAGAACAATTCATAAGGTGAATATAAAAAACATGACATGTACAATTCACAGTGATCAAATATGCTGTGCATTCTGTACAGATTGTGACAAACCAGTTTGTATAAACTGTTTAATTGAGTCCCATCAAAAACACAAATATAGAACACTGAATGAAGTTTATGATACGGCCATTTCTGAAATGAAGGAATTACAAAATAAACTTGAAACTTGTCTTCAATTTTTTGGTGACCAAAAGGAAAGACTAGAAAAACTACTTCTAGATGGTGATAAAAAATACCAAGAAATAAAAGATAAAATTCTACTAAATGAGAAGAAAATGATAGAAACAGTATCAAAATATGCCAAAGAACTTTTACAGGAACTTGAATCAAAATGGAAGCCTACCGAAAATAAGATCAAAACAGAACTCTCTGCCGCGCAGAAGACCGAAGAAGACTTAATAGCAAGGGAAGAAAATTTGAAGAAGACCTTGCAGTCTCATCAAGCTTCAGAAATTTTCTCTTCAAGAAAAAAGCTGGATAAGACTTTGCCAAAAAAATCAGAAGAAAGAATTAACTGTGACATTCTTAAAACAAAATTTATTTCTGGAAATATATTCGAAAAACAAAACACAAGAAGTACGATATTTGGTGACCTGTATGCAGTTCCTGATTTAGAACTAGTCAGTACCTATCAAAGTGATCTTCGAAATGTACTGGACATACTTAATTGTGATAACAAAACTGCATTCATTGCATGCTATACTGAGAAAAAACTACAAAAAGTAAAATTTGAGGAAAATAATATCAAAGTAGAGGAAAACCTTAGTATATCTGTACTTACTATGGCAAAATTAAATAATAATGACATTCTTTTGTCAACAGGGGAAAGTGAACTACAAGTTTATTCTATTGATAAACAGTTTAAAACATTTAAGTCCTTTTCTCCCTTAAAATCTGTAAGTGTTCATGTTTCTAAAAACAATAAAATATTTGTGGGGTTGACTGCAAGCTATCCTGTCACATATCCCGCTACAGAAGACAGTGTGGGAAGAGTGGTGGTTCTTAATCAGGATGCAGACCTTCAATATACCTATGAATATGACAAAGATAATCAGAGACTGTTAACATCACCACGGAGAATAATAACCTTGAATGACAATATTTACATAATTGATAGTGTAAATGAAAATAGGGAAGGGAGGGCAGTGGTGTTAGACTATGGGGGAAAACTGCTGTGGACATATAATGGTTGTGATATCAAGTTAGATTCAGCAAAATTTTATCCTATTGACATATCAGCAACATCTTCTGGTATGATTTTAGTTTCAGATCAATACAATCATACTATACATGTTTTAAATTCTGCTGGGGAAGTTATTGTATGTAAGAATGTAAAAGCCTTAGGGATTGAATTACCACTTAGTCTTAGTATTGACAAAGATGGAATTTTGTGGATTAGCTGCAATTCATGGACAGCTGACAAAGAAAGTAAAGGGAAAATATTTGCTGTAAAACTATTTTAGTCCACATCTTTTTTAAGTAAATATTGGTTGATAATTTTGTGACACAGAATATATTTTATGTATACAATCTGACTTTTGGCTGAATTAACTAATTACCCTGGTAATGGGAATACCAGGGTTGGCAAAGTATTACCCGGGCCCGGGTTTTCCCGGGCTGGGCAATACTCCTAGAAAGGGGCAATACTGGGCAATACGATTTTTCAAACTTATTTTTACACAAAATAGTAAAGACTTGTTGTGGTTTAATAGTATTATAGCTAAATATATACATTTTATACAGATAACCATTGAGAGTCAATCCTGATGATTGAAAATTCAATTTCTTCCTTTTCTCCACTAATTCTATGTAGGCAGAATACAAGTTTTGGACATTTCAGGATACCTTGTTAATTTCCAAGCTTTGTTTCAATATAAATTCAAGTTGAAAAAATGCATTATATTGCAGTGTTTAAGTGAATTGTAAATTTTAATTGTTATACAATCATATTGCTAAATAAACACCCTATGTGGACAGGCCATGAACACTTATAGAAATCAAAAGTCTGATTATTGTTATATAAACAAATCTGTATTATAATCTGAATAATTACTTATTGATTAGTGATGTACATAAACATATTCAAAAACTTAGTAAGCATTTTTAGTAATGAACAAAAAATGTTTAAAAGTAATTTTCCTTACATAGAATTGTTAATCATGTTAATTCTTAATATTAGTTATATTTATTTAAAAAAAAAACAAAATTGAATTCTTCGACTTTAATGCATTGCATTTGTGATTAATCACTGAATCCTCTTTGAAATTCAGGCCAGTATTTCATATTACCCAGTATTGGCCGGTATTATCCAGTAAAACCCAGTAAAACCTGGGTTTTCCCAGTATTTCCCACTGGGCTGGGCAATACTCATAAAACCTGGGGTTTTGCAAACCCTGGGGAATACATATTTCGTTAAAGGGACATTAGCTACATAGTTGACAAAAAAAGAAAATTATTATAATATGATTTATTTAAGTGAAATTGTGAAATTATATTTTGCTATTAGCAGTCAGTTTTGGTGCAATTTTGTCAAAATAAGTTCAAAAACATTGATGCTGTATTATTGGCTTGCAAGTCAATAATTCAACTCAAATTTGAATCAGTATTCATGCGAACTTGAATTTAACCTTTAACTAGGGCAAAGCATATTTAGTTATTTAAAAGCATGATTAGTAATTCAAAAGAAAAGAATGTCAACATTAATAAACAAGCTGCGCCATGAGCGCATGATACGCCCATTGCTTTTTCAAAGAATAAAGTTCAATAACTTTTAAAAGATATAAACCAGTCACCAAAGATTCATGAAAACTGCTCAAAGCACTTTTGAGTTATTGTCTGAAAACTGGAAAATCACCCCTTTCTTATGAATAAAATCCCATAACTCGGAAAGGTAAAATCTACAAATGGAAAAATTGCTGAAATATAAATGGAAAAATTGCTGAAATATTTGTTTCTGTTCTCTAACTTTAGTTTGCCTCAACCCAATGTTATGAAACTTATGCACAATGCCAATTACCACAAAACACAGATCATGATCGGATTTTTGTGGCGTCACTTTTACCGTTCTAGAGTTATGCCCCTTTACACATGAAAAATTTACAGGGTAATTAATTATTTCGGCCAAAAGTCAGATTGTGGTAACTTAGTTAATAATTAAGAAATAACTGAGTCTGCTCCAAACCCAAATCAAAGTAGAAGTTGAGTTAAATTTTTATTAAGAAGTTTTATGTAGTCATTGTAGATACATTGCAGTAGAATTTTATATGACAGTATATTTTTTGTGAAATTGAATATCTAAATTATCTTAATAACATGATTTTAGTCATAGAATTACTTTAGTATTTGTCTTATTATTACATTAGGGAGTGATATCTTTATTTAGCATTTGTTAAGCTGATAGTAAGTCAACATCACTTTTCTTATTGCTATACATGTACCAGTACTAGTAATAAGATCCATCATCAAATACATACATGTACATGTAGAACACTTCATTGCAACTATGGGGTATATGTCAATGACTTCTTAGCAGAGTCAAAACAGCTACATGTATTTGGACAACAACTTTATCTTCATTACACCACAAAGCATGCTAATCAGATGTTTTTGTGCTTTGTATCGATCCGATGAGTTAAGTCCTTTTCAACTGAATTTTATAGTTTGTTCATATGTTGTACTGTTACACCACTGTCACAGGTTAGGGGGAGGGTTGGACGCCCGCTAACATGTTAAACCCCGCCACATTCTGTATGTGCCTGTCCCAAGTCAGGAGCCTGTATTTTCAGTGGTTGTCGTTTGTTGCTGTATATCATATTTGTTTTTCGTTCATTATTTTGTACATAAATCAGGCCATTAGTTTTCCCGTTTGAATTGTTTTACATATGTCATTTCTGGGCCTTTTATAGCTGACTATGCAGTATGGGTTTTACTCATTGTTGAAGGCCGTAGGGTGACCTATAGTTGTTAAATTCTGTGTCATTTGGTCTCTTTTGGAGAGTTGTCTCATTGGCAATCATACCACATCTTCTTATTTTTATAACCACATTGTTTTAAATTTAAGTCTTACATCAAGTGGTACTTTTACATAGCAATATAAATGGGCATGGTTTATTGGATAAAGCTCAACACGAGCTTACATGAAAGTCAGTTTTGCAATTATAAAAAAATACCTCATTATGATACTGAGCAAACAATGTACTACATATAAGCTACATTTTTGTACATTTGTTGCAAGTGTGTGTTATGTCATGATTACATTGAAATCATGTTAGGTTTTTCATTGGGATGGTACAGATTAAAGATACAATACAAACTAATAAGGATTCTAAGTCATGATTTATTTATAGTATTCATAATTGGGTACAAATACAGCCATGTCCTGTTTATGACTTCAGTCGACGATGATGGAATGAATAAACTAGAGTTTCTGTCCAAGTCTGGCATTTTCTACATGTGTTTTATCAGAAAATTACAAATAAATATTTATGTTCAGGCTAATGAAAATTGATTGCTTACTGTCAAATATTTTATATGACAAAAAGATTGATTGATTGATTGATTGGTGTTTAACGCCACTTTCAACACTATTGTGCTATTTTGTGGTGGTCAGTTTTTATTGGTGGAGGAAACCGGAGTGCCCAGAGAGAACGATCGACCTTCGGTAAGAAAACTGACAATCCTAGTCAATTAAGATTGGAGTCGAGTACACCTGCCCCGTGCAGGATTCGAACTCACAATCTCAGTGTTGACTGGCTAGTGATACAGTAGTTCAACTACTTAGACCACTCGTCCACTGAGACCCCATGACAAAAAGAAGATTGAGAAATATTCCAATGAGACAGCAACCCAACCACAATAATAACAAAAAAACAAATTGAGGGCACTATTCTTGTTCTGAATATGCATGAAATATTTGCAACAGTACATTAAGCAAACAACAACCAATCAACATAGTGGCAAAACAAGAGGCAGAAGAGACCAAAGGGACAATATAAAAAAGTCAGTAGACTTAGTCAAATAAAAAAAAGACAAAACAATGTTAAAAAATAAAAGAAGAATGTGTGCATGGGACACAGATGGCCCCACTTGTAAGTATGTGGCAAAATCAGCAATTTTTCCATTCATAAAGGACATAGCTCAAGAATGATGAAATTGATGCAACCCAAATTCAAAATTTATCTGTGTTTGGTGGTTATAAGCATTGTGTATAAATTTCATAACATTTGGTTGAGGGAAAGTAAAGTTAGAGTGCAGAAAAATTCAGCAGTTATTCCATTTATACAGGGACATAACTCAAAAACGGTGAAAGCGAAGCTACCAAATTTGAACTTCATCAGTGTTTGGTAGTAATAATCATAGTGTATAAGCTTCATAACATTTAATTGAGATAAACTAAAGTTAGAGAACTGAAACCATTTTTGGGATGTATGGACAGACAGACAGATAAACGGACAAGAAAAAATCTTAATGCCCCTGTCCTGTCAGCAGCAACACTCTATCAAGGAAATCATCATAGGAAAGCAAACTCTAGAATTTCCCATCAACTGTAAGATATTTTCTCCATTCACAGGGGCTGATGAAATGTTGATACACAGAAATGGAAAGTTTACAATAGGACAGTTGGAATCATTTAAATATAACAAGAATGTGTCCATAGTACATGGATGCCCCACTCGCACTATCATTTTCTATATTCAGTGGACTGTAAAAATTGGGGTCAAAACTCTAATTTGGCATTAAAATTAGAAAGATCGTGTCACAGGGAACATGTGTACTAAGTTTCAAGTTGATTGGACTTCAACTTCATCAAAAACTACCTTGATCAAAAACTTTAACCTGAAGCGGGACAGACGGACGGAGGAACGAACGAACGGACACACAGACCGAAAAACATAATGCCCCTAGTTGGGGCATAAAAATAAGAAGATGTGGTATGATTGCCAATGAGAACTCTCCACCCGAGATCACAGGACATAGAAGTTAACAATTATAGGTCACCGTACCACCTTCAACAATGAGCAAAACCCATACCGCATAGACAGCTATAAAAGGCCCTGACATGACAAATGTAAAACAATTCAAACAAGTAAACTAATGGCCTGATTTATGTACAAAACATTGAACAAAAAAAGATATATGATATACTGAGTGAGTGAGCAACAAACGACAATAACTGAATTACAGGCTCCTGACTTGGGACAGGCACATACATAATGTGGCGGAGTTAAACATGTTTTGAGGGAGCCAAACCCTCCCCTAACCTGGGACAGTGGTATAACAGCACAATATTTGAACAAACACTAAAAATCAGTTGAAAAGGGCTTAACTCATCAGATCAATACAGAGCAGAAAAACAAGTAACAAAAACACAGACCGGACATGGCAGGGCATTCTAATATACATCCCCACAACAAAAAGGACACCAAGTACAGATCTGAGAGTACTCGCAGTTACTGACAGATAGTTCAAAGCCAATAACAACTAATAAAAAAACTTTAACCACAGACTGAACCCAAATGTTGATGCCGCCGACAGAATCTAGGGTGGCTATGTCACACTTTCGCGACATTTATGTCGCAGGCTTGACAAAATTCATGTACCGGTATCTAACACTAAAATACCAATCTGACAGTACATATCCAACATTCAATTGATATAGCTTGAAGACATCATTAACAGTCAGAGAAAAACATGACCTTGTGCAATGCCAAAATACAGACATCGACAGATTGTAGAACTGTGAATGTGCATATGTATTTGTATATATCATTAAATATAAGAATAAGAAGATGTGGTATGATTGCCAATGAGACAACTCTCCACAAAGGACCAAATGAAACAGAAATTAACAACTATAGGTCACTGTACGGCCTTCAACAATGAGAAAAGCCCAAGTTTAGTTCTTATCTGACCCTAATTGTCAAGGACTCAAGATATATCCTTTATTTCAAGTTTGATGGGATAAATAAATTCAA